AAAGCATTACCTTCTTAAATAATGCAGTTCCAGTTTTCTCGGTTGTGCCAATGGTTGAATTTGGATTGATTTCCGAAGTAATAGGAGATTCGTTCGTCGTTGTTGTAGTATTATTGAGTTGTGACTGTTGCGAGGTAATGTTATTGTTAGCAGTGTTATTGTTTAACACGGATTGTTGTTGTTGTTGCTGTTGATGATGACTTTTAGAATCTGCAAGAGCAGGATTAAGTGCAGAGTTTGAAGTTGACGACTGTTTCTTAGCAGAAGCTGGAGGCACAAGATCTGCTGCTGCTGCGGGTACGACCGCCTCACCCTCGTCAAAGTCTTCCTCTTCGTTGAACCACATTTCTTCCTCTTCGTCTAACTGTCTCTGGTCCCTTCTGTATCGACTATTTCTCAATATGGATGGAACACTAAACAAACACGATCAAATATATGTTATAACTAGACTGTAGATTTTTACGCACTTATGGAAAATTGAAAGATAAAAAAAAAAAAATGCAGAGAATACGCACAACATGCGAAAATATATAAAATAATAAACATAATATTTAATAATGGAAATAAATTTCTACCTTAAATTTCCAAACGTATTCACAAAATTTAAAACTGCACAAAGATCCACAGTCTAACTAGACTTTTAAACTACTTCGTCGATTCGTTTAAAATATCGTTTGTTAGAAAAAATATACCTATCAAGAGCCGCTCTATCCCGATCCTTTAATTTGTCTTGATGCTGTTCGTACCTTAGTTTCAAAGCTTTAAATGTTTGTACATAATCAATTGCTTCCAGTTCTTTTGAGAAGTTTTCAACAACGTGTGAACATAACGATTTGATATCCTCCTATAATGAAATTAATCGATTATCTTAGATATATGTACGTATTTGTACAAAAAAATGTCATAGTATGTATGTATGCTTACTAGTTTAATAAATTCAAACATTTCAAGAATAGCAGAGTCCAACAAATTATATCTACCATTATTTCTCACAAATGCATCAAATACAGGCGCAAATAAATTCCCTTTAATGATATATCTATTGTAAAATTCATCCTTCAATGCTACAATTTTTCTCATAAACCTCAAAGCACACAATACTAAAAACGTGTGTGTAGATTTCATTAAAACCAATATCCGTTTAAGCAAATCCTTATTCAATATGCAATTCTTGATGTGGTATGTATGATGCTCTACACAAAATGATAGTAACTCTAAAATCAATCCTAAAAGCTGTACTGTTCTATAATCTTCTCTTGCTGGTCGTTCTCCAATTGTGTTTGCTAATAACGGTGCTATCAGTGTTCCAATACTATTCTTGTAAAAGTAATTTAAGAAATCAGTCTTTTCTGATTTGTTAACGGAAGCCAACATGTTTTCTGGGTCAAGGAGCAGACGTAGTACACCAGCTAATTGTACAGCTCCACCCAACTCTGGATCACTATCGCCAACGAGTTGAGCAACTATTACATTTATTAACATTTGGTCCTGTTCTGTATTATTTATTTGTTGCAGTGTATAATCTCGAACAACACTTGGAGAATATTCGACAATATAAGTTAATATATCTATACTGGCTGTTTTTGTTTGGGCGTCGTTCATTGCCAAAGTAATTTCTAAAGCGGGTAAAATACCAAGCGCAGTTAAAGTTTTATAAAAGGCCTCCTTTCCTTGTGGTTGAAGATTCTGAGAAAAGTTACAAAATTCTTTTAGGAAGAGAACTAGATCTCGTCTCTTATTATCCGATGTTGCTTCGTCAGTTAATTGGCGAAACAGTTCAGTGAGGAATTTCTCATCATCTTGTATCAATGTTACTATCTCAACCTTATTAAAAAATATAAAGCTACTCAATGTGTTTAACATGTTGTCTTCGAATACACTCGGAGTTGGTAGCACTACATCTTGAATATATTGAACTCGATACGTTTGGTGAATTTTAGCTAATAGCTCAGCGTTTGTAATAGGAATTGCTTGCTTAAATCTGGCTAACTGTCGAAGATATTCTCTATGCCTCTTTGGCTGAGGTAATGTTGGCTCGTATTCCAAACATCCAACAACATCGAAAATTATATCTTCACTAAACATAACTTCAAATAATGTGTTTTTATTAAGTAGGAAAATATTTTTAAATATGTCATACAAATGATGCAATCCTTCAATATTTTCTAAATCTTCACAGGTATGAAACAGATTTAACAGTTTTTTGATATAACCTTCTGATTCCAAAGCCAAGGCTAATTTATCTTTCCTCATTTGCGAAGATAAACAATTTCCTATAAGTTCATTAATATCTTCCAGTCGGCTTAATTCACACGGTGGCAACTCTATTGGAGGCGCAGCGTCAGACATATCATCAAACCGTTCATCTTCTGACTCTTCAACAATATCTTGAGTAATTTCAACAGATGGATCTTTCCCTTGGACCTGACATATCTTTTCCCAAATTTCATCACAGCCAGCCTTTTCTTGAAAACTTAAGGCTAAATCAAAATTTTCTCCTTCTGACCAAACTATTAAAGTGTCCTGAAATAAAAAAAAAAAAGAAACAGTCAGTATCTCACAACTTATATTTATATTTCATTGACAACCATGAATTGAAATTACATTATACAAAAATAATCAAATCTATGATTAGATATTTATTAAACCAAAAATATTTGTATAATAATTTCATTACCTGTTGTTTCTGATATGCTGTATCTGGTTGTATTCTACTCTCCAATAAAACTGAACCATCACTCTCTGCTCTGACTAAAAGTGAAATTCCTTTCAATCTATCTACGTATGAAGAGGAAACATGACCTGTACCACGATCATCCCACTGTCTATCAACATTCAGTGCGTACAATTTCACTCTTCTGCGTGTATCCGTCATATTGTAAAAATTAACTCATACACACTATTTTATAATATCACCAGCTACCTTGCATCCCTTCAAATTTTACCAACTCTTTGGCTTTTCGAATATATTTATGAATGATCCTCAACTCTCCGATGTATTGATAAATACACCAGAATCTGCATGTATCGATGCAGTTACTCCCTTATAACCCATTAAGGCTTTTTACTACAACATTAACTTTATAAGACAAAGACACCATTTAATATAATTATCTAGTTCTTTTAATGCTCCAATTCATATACATAAGATTAGCTTGGGCAAATCAAAT